ACCATTCATAAACATCTAAGCTGTTTAGTTTTTATGCAGGTTCGCAGGAGATAGATGGACGACATGGGTATGGACGATATATGGGCATGGGTATCGCTACCCCTGCCAGAAGAAGAAGATCAGGTAGTACCTCGCTCGCCACTGCCAGATGATCATTATGATCTATGGATGCCAGTGTCGCCTTCACTTATAGTGCCAGGGGAGTCATCCGAAGAGGAACCATTCGAGGAGGACGAAACCCTTGAGGAGGATGAGGCACCTGAGAGAGCGAATGAATAGGGTCCAATCGATAGTTCCCCATACCCGGATTCATCATCCAGTGATGACCCCCATATTACAAGGGGAGTGAGGTTCAGGTTGAGGATGAAACCACCTTAGAGAGTGATTCAGATCCCTTACAACAAGTAGAGGTTCTATCATCCACATCATTACCTTCTCACCGATCATTTAGCCTCGATATCTAGGGACCTAAGCAAAATAATATCCCTAGGAAATCCACCCCGAAATAAAGCAGCTTCACCTCCATTATCACCTAGAGCAAAAAATACTTTTCCCTGCCAATAAATGGACACCCCAGATAGATGAGTGGATTGAGGAGGATAGCATCAGAGTTTACGAGGTAGGAGAGTCATCTCAGTACCCTTACGAGATCCCATCCCAGAGTCACCGACCGAGCGGGCGATATCTGTATTAGTTCCATGAGTAGCCCGACATGCAGATAGGATGCATGTACGGAAGAGGATCTTTGTTCATTGAGGAGGGAGGTTAGATTGTTGACTAACAGAGTTTATGAGCTTGGATGAGGATGAGATATTGACGAGATGAGAGTCCTTCATGCCTACTATCATATCGAGGAAGCTTATGATCAAATTTAGTCATAGCAATTTGAGATTGGAGTTTTGGAGCAGCGTGTAGAGAATTTTGAGTAGAGGGTAATAGTCTCTGATATCAGGATGGTTAGCTCGGAGGTGATGATAGATTACCTCCATTATCAGATGGCACGGTTAATAGCATAGTGATTGTGTATTTGGGGATTTGGTGATAGCTCTAACTAGGAAAGCTAGAAGTTGTATTTTTTTGTGTTTGTAGGATGAAAAAGCTGAAGATAGATAGTATGATGTTGTCCTGTCTTTTGTATGTAAAGTAGAAGCTTTTCCTGTTCAATCCACACTCTTTTGTATGATTTTGAACAATCATGTTGTATAAAGTTAAACTTGAAATCAAACCTATGTTGTATATGAAAATTATGTATTTCACGAATAAATCTCTTGCATTGTGAAATGATACGTGTGATATAACAAAAATTACTTTTTGATGTTTTATTTTTGTGACCTTTGAATTTTTCTAACCCTCTCAAATTAATAACCGAACGACCAAAGGAATTCTAATATCTAACAAATACGTAAATGTTAATATAGAATCATGCCTCGTACAATAGCCAATCGTAACCAACCAGGTTCCCATAATAACCCCGACCTTATACCCATGGACCCCAACAACTATCGAGGCACTAGCAAGAGTCGTCGCTGGCTATTGCTAATTTCGAAGCCATTAGGAAAATGGGATAAGGAGCTAAAACTGGAGGAGAAAGTTCCCATGGAGACAAATGAGGTCCACCTAGGACATGTTCTTATAAATATTTTATGAACTGCAAGTTGAAATCCATCTACGGAAATGAAGGTTTGGTAGGTTTAACCCGTTGGATGAAAAAATGGAGTCAATCTTTGAGATTATCTTTTGCGTTGAGGACTATAGAGTAAAGTTTGCTACCTGCACCCTGGTAGATGCAACCCTCACCTGCTGTTGTAATAGTTACTCAAAGATGATGGGCATTATCAATGTTAATGCCATGTCTTGGAGTGAACTAAAGAAACTCATGATAGAGGAATATTGTGTACGTGAGGAGATGCAAAAGCTGGTGGAACAAGAACTATGGAATTTGGAAATGAAAGGAGCTGATGTGAATGCCTACATGAACCACTTTAATGATCTAGATACCTTGCATCCCGGAATGGTCACTCCAGAATGAAAAGAGGTAGAAAGATACATTTGGGGTTTTCCCCAACCCATTTAAGGATTAGTTTCTGTCTCTAAGCAGACCACCTATGATAGTGCCAAAAGGTTGGCTTTCAGCCTGACGAACCAAGAAATACGTCACGACACTATGGTCCAAAAGGTTGATCTTCTAAAGGTGAATAGTAACAAAAGGAAGGCTGGAATAGACTCCAGGGGAAGGACTACACAACCATCATAGAAGAAGCGTGAAATTGTTCAAGTATATGTGGTTACTGTAGCAGCAATTGAGGCTACCGCTCCGAAGCAGCATACAGGAGGTAGTCCAAAGTGTAATCAATGCAGGTATCATCACAACAGTGCTTGTTGGATATGTAGCAATTGTGGTAGGAAGGGCTACCTTTCTCAAAGATGTAGAGTCCCAACACCTGCACCAGCACCTATAAGAAACCAAGGAGCCGCAACAACGTCGGAAAGCAGATCTTGTTATGAATGTGAAGAGGTCGGGCATTATAGGAGAGATTTCCTGAAGTTGAGGGACGTGAAGGAGGAAATGCTTAGAGAGGAGGGAAAATTGTTATAGGAGCAAAGGACGCCGTCCGTGACCCAACAATGGTCACTGGTACGTTCCTAATTAACAATCTATATGCAAACGTACTTTTCGATTTTGGTGCTGATAGGAGTTATATTTGATGGGTTTTGAGCATTCTAACACTCCTAAGTGTACATGCAACCCTAATAAACCTTGGATCTATGTTTGTCTAAAATTCATGCAAAATATGATTTCCAAGGTTCATAATCCTATCTAGCATACATGGGGAACTTTTAAATTAAAAGATGGCTAGAATAACATACATTGTTGATGATTTGATTCCTTGAAAACCTTGAGAGCCTAGCACCCCAAGTGTGATGCCTCAAATGCTTCACACAACGCCAAATGCTTTTGGAGTAAACTTGAGAGGAAAAATAACACTTCTATTTTCGGCCTTGCCCTCTTGTATTACTAGTGTAGCCGAAAATGGGGAGTATGATGCTCTTTATATAGTGTGTTACAATTAGGGTTACACCATGTAAACCCTAACGTAACATGGTTCTTCATTTCCATGAGTCCATGGGTTTGAACTCCATGGAGCATCCTATGGGTGTTAGCCCAACTTGATAATCCATGGAGCCTTTAGCCCACTATACAAGTTATGGATGATTTACATAATCAACCCATATATTTAATTAGTTATCTTTTGATCACTTAATTAATTCTAGATTAATTCTTGATCAATACTAATTAAATAATATTATTAATATATTAGAACTTATAATATATTAATAAACCATAAGTGTTATTTCTCTCATTTTAGTCTATCCAAATGCATGATGCCATGCAACCCAAATGGACCATGCCAACCGGGTCAAGTACATACCAAAAATAATTATGGACTTAGACACCTTATCCAACAATATTAGCCCCGAGTTTAGAAAATTATTAAATCATCCATCTAGTAAGCTTAGGGAAACCTATATATTGGAAATGGCCAATGGTCAAATCGGTAGCACCCAGGAAGTACTATAGAATTACACTATAGAGCTAAGTAATCACACATTTCTCATCAACCTCATGTCTATGATTATCAGAAGCTTCGATGTCATAATTGGCATGGATTGGTTATCCCTTCATTACGTCAAAATCTTATGCTTCGAGAAAGCAGTACGTCTATCTTTTCCAAATGGAGAATCCTTAACCGTCTACGGAGACAAACCTAGTAAGAGCCTTAGGAGCATTTCATGTATGAAGGACAGGAAATACCTACAGAAGAAGTATTACGCCTTTCTATCCGAAGTTGTAAAAAAGAAAGACCAGAAGAAAGAGATCAAGGAAGTACCTCAGGTGTGAGACTACCCTGATGTATTCCCTGAGGATCTACCAGGATTACCACCTGTACGCCAAGTTAAATTTAGGATTGATATGATTCCAAGAGCAAGCCCTGTAGCAAATTCTCCTTATAGATTGGCACCGTCAGAGATGCAAGAGCTCTCTAGCCAACTATAGGAACTTCTTAATAAAGGCTTCATTAAATCAAGCATTTCGCCTTGGGGAACACCACTACTATTTGTCAAAAAGAATGATGGATCTTTCCGGATGTGCATCGACTTCCGTGAGTTGAACAAATTGACCATCAAAAATAGGTATCCACTTCCCCGAATCGATGATTTTTTCAATCAGCTTCAAGGATCGAGTGATTTCTTCAAAATCGACCTAAGATCGGGATACCATCAACTTCGACTCATGGAAGAAGACATTCCAAATACTGTGTTTAGAACACACTACAGTCATTATGAATTTTTGGTCATTCCATTTAGACTAAATAACTCCCCGGACCTATAATCATTAATCTTAAGTGAGCGTTAAAGGTTGTATAAATTTGTACTAGATTGATACCCCCACCCGCAATTTCTAGCTACAACCTCGGCAGACATAACTTAGTCTTTTTCACGACGTCCGATGAAGCGTTGTGGCGGGGAAATTTCAAGTCATATAGCTCGGTTATAGATACTCATTGTAACATTACCCATCAACCTTTTAAATAAAACTACCTAAAGGAAAATGCCTACGGAGTAATTAAAGTATGAAAATATAAAGAAAAAGGAAGTACAAATCTATAAAACAGAAGGCTATAAGATAAATACTAAAAGAGTAGTTTATCTTAGGAAAAACCATGTTTAAGAAAAGAAACCTTTTTTTAAAGAGTTATAAAACTATTTTAAAAAGTATAAAACCATGAACATCTGTGAACTCACCAACATTATGTTGACATTTTCAAAACCCATATATTCTCAGGAGATGAATAGTAGTGGAGGTAGAGTGTTGAAGGAATTCGTCACCTGGTTGATGGAAGTTATATTTTGTTTTCCTGTTGTTTAGTTATGTTTAGGGAGTTTTGGGAATCGAACAATTTAACTCTTTTCAATAATGAATAAAAGAAGGATTTGTGTTATATTTCTATGTATTGTTCTATATACTTGCCTTTAGATCCAACATCCCAAAATGTTGCACAGCCTGGCATTACCGCCGACGACTGGGGTTGTGACATGACAACGACAACGTATGTATTCCGGTGAACCTGTAACATATCCTTGGCAAGATCGATGACAATCACACCAGCGCTACATCTCATTCCGTCCAAATTGAAGCTCCGGGTGTTACCTCTTAATTTGTATTTGTTAACGATCATGGAAGACAAAGAACAAGTAGGATTGTACAAGCTGCGGTTCTCCACAACGATGTCGATGTCTTTCGGTTTAATTCTGGTACTGGAAAACAGATTATCTAAAGTTCCACACATAACCTGCTCCACCTCCTCCCTGGCGGTGGCCAAGGAAGAACGTGGAGTTACAAAATGCATAGCGTCATGTACATAAGTTTCTTCACCAAGTCTAGACCTTTCCAAGTTCTTTCTTTGAAAGTCAAGAGACGATTGATCAAAATGAAAATCACTAGAGCTTTCGGGTGATCTTGTACATGATAAAATAAGTAATCAACAAGATAAACATGTTTATGTCAGGTCATGATGTAAATACTGATTTAATGAAATCAGTTAATAAATATAAAATAACCAAATCTTCAAAAAATGGTCCTTGTGGTTGTTAAATGATGGATCTTTCCTTCACATGTCACGCACATGTTTAGACTTAACAGAAAACATAAATGGTGTTAGCCATAAAGACAGTCTATTAAAGGTTTTCAAACCATAGAGACCATCCTTGATGACAAAAAAAAAAGTAAGGACCAAATTTTACTTTTTTAAAAACCATAGTGACCATTTTTGACGATTTGTCTTGATTTTATACATTTTACTTATTTATTGAAATATATATATATATATATATATATATATATATATATATATATATATATATATATATATATATATATATGGCTAGGTTATTTTGTTTCTTACATTTATTATGTGCTAGAATGCACCAGTAAGAATTTAGTAAATTAAATAATTATTTAATTAAATAAATATAGATATTAAATGATTTCCACAATTATATATATATTAAATGATATCCATAATTATAATTCTCTTTTTATGGAAACTAATTAAATCCGTCATTAATGTCAGCAATAACATTCTTTCAGAATGAATTCGCATCTAAGTTTTTATATATGAGTTCGTATTTTGTTTAAGGACTCACTCACTTAATATACAATAAAGTTGCATTGAATATGAATAAATAGAGTGTATTTTACTAGAATACACTCTCATTCTTCTAGATATGAATTCATTCTAAAAGAATATTATTGTTGACATTAATGACGAATTTAATTAGTTTCCATAAAAATAAGTTATAAGTATGGATAACATTTAATATACATATAATTAATACTAAATTCCTATTGATGCATTCTAACACACAATAAATTTGAAAAACATTTGAACCTATATATATATATATATATATATATATATATATATATATATATATATAGTGGTTCTGGTTGAAATTTTGAAAAAAAATTAAAGATCTGTAGATTCAACCTAAGTTACGTACTTCCCATTTGTCGCTCTAGTGTCCGGCGTACTGACGCAACAGGAGAATTATAATCATAAATAATTATCCAACATCGTTTGTTACTTTTTTCCCCGCCACCTTCCCTACCACTACTACCACCACCTCTAAATAGGCAGGGGCGATTTTAGTAGGTGTCCCTGTGTGGCACCAGCAACATCTATTTTTATGTTCGCAGTGGAAAAAATTTTGATTTTTCGATTTTTTTTTACCTATTTTTTCTGCGTCGACAACATCTATTTCAACATCGACAACACCTACTATATATTCGTGTGTCCGCCCCTTTGAAAAGGTATATACAAGATTGAGTTTTTTTTTATAATTATTGAATGCTATATTAAGAAAAACATAACAAGCTTGTGGAACGTTAGTCAAGGTATCTTTAAAAAAAAATTTATAAACCAATTTTTTATTTGCGAAGCATAACGATATTAAAAAATACAAAAAATAAACTATATTTCATATTTCATAAGGTCATACGGTATACATAGCACGAGATCGATTCTAAAGTAATTTTGTCTTTTTATAACAGAAAATAATGAAAATTCTTTAACATTTAGTCTATCCCTTAAAAATAATAAAAATCCATCAAATGCATATTTTAATAGAATCTTTTCTACTCTTGAATCTCACAACCGAACACGTTAAACAATGGATTTTACATTTCATTTCCTTTATATCCCCTCACAATTTGTGAACCAAACAAGCCTTTAATGCCCATATTGTCAAAAATTTAGCTTCGAAAGAATTCATATTTTGAGATTTAAAAACTAATGGTATCGATTGAGACTAATACCTGCCACTTGTGGACAAAGAATGCCTTTTCGACCAAAATGATAAAATATTTATATGACGTTTTGGATTTATACCTTAAAAAATGAATAGCATAAGCCAACATTAGACTTGTATTTAATAACAAACATTAGGGCGATTATTTGAACATTTTGATTAATTAATAGGTACCATTGAGATCATTCCGTTTCCATCTATCTTTCGTTAAAACGACATATTAACTTATTCATGAATTGGTCTGTTGGAATTGAATAAAATGGCCGTTTGTTGCAATTAACGTACTTCCAAGCCTCATTTATTACCACTCTTCCTCTGCTTCTTAGCCAACACCAAATGCTCCATTGAAGCTCACAAATGGTGCCATGATTTGGTGTACGTGTGGGAACTTGGAAGAGAAAAATTATAAGTATAACATGAATCATATGATCTTGTTCAAGAGGTGAGTCTCAAAACTAGGTTTTTCTCACCAACATTGAAGATTTCGAATCTTAATTTTTTGTTTTTGTTTTTGTTTTGGTTTTAGTTTTTAGGGATCAAAATTATGTTTTGATGATTGCTTTAATTCAAAGACGGGCACAAACAATACTAGGGTTGTTGAGGAAACTCGATGCTTATATAAAGTTAAGTTAAAGGAATGTGCAATCAAATAACCAATGCATCTCAAATTGACTAACAAGTTCTAGGCCGTATGTATTGGTTTCAAGGTTTTTGTTCATTACAGTCGTTAATGTATGTGATTTGGTGATTAGGTGTATGTATATGCTGGTTTTTGTACCTTTTTTGATAAAATTTAATGCAAGCATTTGAAGTTAATGTTTTTTAACGAAGATTAGTTTCGAAACTTATCTTTGGCATTACGGTGTACAAGTTTCAATGTTTTAATAAGGTGTTAGATCTTTGATAAAGTATAATGGAAGGATTTATTTGATGCTTTTAAAGGGTATAAATCGTGTTATTCATGTCTCATGGTAACTTAATGCATTCATGTGGTTATAAGTTCAATATAGATGGTTGGTTGCTTGCTCCTTCATTTATTGTACGTACCAAACTAGACTGGTTCATGTGGTTATGTTGGAATTATTGAATTGAAAAGTCGGATTTTTTTTTCTTTGATTTCATTGTTGCACCGTAATTTGTATATCGGATTTGGCATCTAAATGCATCATGGGTCTTGGGTTGCCTTTTATTCGCACACTTCATTGATGCACCATACTTCCTATATCGGATTTGGCTTCTCAACGCATCATGGGTCAGATTCGTCAGAGTTGTTTTCTGGGTTTGGCTTTATTCGCAGACTTTAGATCAACTTGCTCGTATTAATAGATTATTTATAAATGAGTGCAACCCTAAACAAAAAGTGTAATTCAGTGGCTATCAATAAAATATCTCTTTCTTCTTTGTTGTGGATGTAGCTCCAATTTTCATATCGAGTGAACCAAATTAAACATTGTGTTCTTATTTCCTACCGCATTTATTACTCTGTGTATGTATGAAATCGTTTATTATTCATCGAAGTGCTTAAACATAACATGTGTTACGGTTCAAAAATTGGTGCATGACTAGTGTAATTTTACCAGAGATTAGAGATTACAAAAACTAACGTGACATACTAACATGTGGCTCACTAACATGCCATGGAAGTTCTAAGTTTTTCATGGTATGATTAATAGGAAATGCCAACAAATGGCTATTCGGGTCATTAGGGTAATTATGGATGACGATATTTGGTTTTCGGATGCGATTAATGTTTAAAAAATGTCTAACGGTTTTTTATTCGATTGTTTCCCCCCCCCCCCCCCCCCCCCAAAAAAAAAATTAAATAAACAGTTTGGTCATGTAGTAGAGATAAAGCCTATGGTCTCGATGGCTTTTCTTTTTTGATCCTTGAAAAGATTTTTGGAGGATCTAAAAGGTGTTATTTGTGTTGTTCAAAAAAAGGTGGTATTTGTTAATTTGTGTATTATTCTTATAATACATGTTTTATTTTGATCGGGTAAAACTCTTCTTTAACTACGCTCATTCCAATGTAACGTCCCAAACATCGCAACAAATTTTAACTTTTCAAAAACAACAATCCAAAATCATAATGTTTACAAAACCATTGTTTCAAAGGTATAATTCAGTAATCAAAGTATCCCAAAATCCAAATAACACAAAAACTGAAGGATGTGCACGATCATGCATTTGACTTGCCACTGTCCTCTGAAGTACTTGAAACAATAACTAAAACTGTAAGCCAAAGCTTAGTGAGTTCCCCCAAAGTACTACCACATAACATAACAAACAACATCATGCATACAGAGCCTTCAACATAACTGGACCGCCGCACCGGACCTTCAGCCTATCTGGACCGCTTTCCGGGTCTTCGGCCTGACTGGACTTCCTCGCAGGCCTTTAGTCTATCCGGACCGCCCTGGGTATCGTGTCCTTCAATACCAACTGGTTCTCCTCAACCTAGTAAACCATAACATATCGATGTAAACATTATTAATCAATCAACAGTAAACACAGGCAGTCCTACAGATCTACCAGTCTAATCACATAACCAGTAACCACATATCTCCGCATAGGCCAGCCTTGGTGCCTTCGACCCATAAGTACAGTGAGGAAAACTCATCTCTCAGTCAGAAGTGAATGCTGAACAGAACGCAACACCGAAAGTCAGCCCTATCGATCACCTAAACGGAACAGGGACTTAAGTTAAGTTAACAATTCCAAGGCCCAAAATATTCAAACCACTCCTAGGTCAACATTAGCCAAGGGTCAAAGTCAACAACTCAGCCAAGTCAACACAGTGGAGTCAACCCAGCCGAGTACGCTGCGCGTACTCAGCAGAACGTGGGGCGTACTCGATAGTTGACCAGTGACGGGGGTTTGACCGCGTACGCATAGTGTACCAATTGGTACGCCTAGCATACGCAGCTGAACTTCTTCTTAACGCAATAAGAGGTTAATACTTAAGCTTTTACGTCCAAAACACAGATCCAAGTCCAAAATATCGTTCTTGACCATAAAGTTTCCAACTTTATAGTCTTGC